AGTCACTAGTCCATATTTCAAGCGCCCTGAGCATCTTACATTAGATGGATTTGTGCGCTATATAAAACTACACTATTATTAAGTGAAAATAATGAATAAAAATATAACAAATAATATGAGACACGACCCATTGTCTATATTAGAACACTTCTCATTGGGTAACAAAGTCGTAATTTTTCATTTTATGGTTTAGGTTTTTTAATTAAAGTTTCAAAAACATATACGTATGTGGAAAATGTAGTTGAACCAAAGGTTACAATTTTTATTTTGAAGACTGCATGGTCTAGGAACTGTACATTTTTTTATGGGGCAAGTTTCCAAGGGCGGGTTTTCTAGGTGCGAGTTGACTGCCAAAGAATGTTGCCAAAGTGCGAGCCAGCGTGTTATTTGATCACAAGTGCGAGACATCACAAGTGTGAGCCAGCGAGCCATGATGTCACGACAATAGATACAAGACGTTAACGAGTTGTGCGAGGTATCGGCTGATATTTGTGGAGTAAAATTCAAACAACAAATATAGATCTAATAATGAATTATTGTGATGTTAAATAGACAATGTTAGCTATCAAGGTCAGGGGTATATTTATGAATTTGAGTAGCAGGAGAAATTTGAAAGTAACAGGAGAGTAAATTGAAATAGGCCGGGGGTATAGGGGGGCCGCCTAGGACCCCCATTTGATGGCATTTCTCTACATCATTGTTTTGTTTTAAACAGTTTTCAGAATCAACTACTGAGCTGTAAAAAAGTTGATATTTTTACATTCTTCATACATTAGGCCTAGCCTAAATATATACTGTAAACCAGAAACTTTCGCAAATTGATAATTTCGGCCGTTTTCGCGACATTACACTTTCGCGAATCTCAAAAAGCCTAAATTTAATTCATGAGAGGAAAATCATACAATAGCTGAAAATATCATATCGTGAGTTTAGGCCTAGGTTAGATAGGCCTACAGCCACTGTGTAGGCTACAGTATCTAGGCCTACTGTAGGCTGGCTTTCTTAGGCGCTATAAACCTGCAGCCTACCTCAGTTGCTAGGACCAGGACTTAGCTGGCTATCCCAGGCACAGATAAGAAAGAGACGAGTTTACACACATACAACAGTACTCACTCATATGATATTCCTTAATTTTGTATGGTATTCGAGCATGCTACAAAATGAACAATGTTTATCAATGTTTTATTAACAAATTATTTTCCTGTAGGCCTAATATCGATTCAAACACATTGATTGATGATGATTGAACATCGTGGATATGTCATATGGTACGGAAAATTAGTTTCCCATTTGAACTTCTTAGTATACACTGCACAGTGGTTGCACATGCAGTGATGATCAGAACCTCCTTGATTAGTATACTTTACTGAGTAGGTTAGAAGGCCTAGAATTTATGAATTTTTCGAGCTCAACATCGGAATTTAAGGTCAGAATATTGATTCAATAATTAAATACATTCTTTTTTAAAAGTTTATACACATTTAATAAAATCCACCAAAATAAATTGAAAATACAATTTTTATAATGATGAAGTTGTTTACTTTTCACAAACATGTTGAAATTTGTGGGGATTCACCATTTAGGCCTGTGCCCTAGATCTGCGTTGAAGAAAACATCTAAGGAGAGCAAAAAATAGTTCTAAATTTACGCAGATATCGAAAACGAATGGATACCACATTGGAAAAAAATGTCTCATGTGATGTGAATTGAGACGATNTGGCTTGCTCTGCCGTTTTAATCATTGTACTATCTATGACTCTGAAATTGTGAGTGTAAACAGCATTCAATTTGGTTCGGCTTGCTACCTCCGCCACCGAGTGTAAACGAATTTGAGCCAGTGTTGGTTTTTTTTTATAAATTATTTATCATTTCCGAAATATCTATGTCATCACAAAGAGGGCTAGTAAAATAAAAATGAAATGAAAATAAAAGGTTCATAGTCATACACAAATTAATTTTAAATGACGATCTGTTTTTTTTTTTCTTCTCCGCGGTAAAAAAACCTGGAAGCCCAATGTACTTCGTGTAGGTAAATAAGGTTCTTTACAGGCCGGTTGCGCTATTTATATTGGTGGTTTTTGTATTAATTTTTGTACAGCATTGATTGAAGTAGCCGGCGAAAACATCGTAGTAGCCGATCGAATGCGCCGGCCGCCGGCTCTTAAATAAACCCCTGAAGTTGTGACGTTGTTTTTCATTGGGACCTTCGTCCCTTCAAGGCTAGGCCTATACCATCCTAGCTAGTCTAGGCCTAGAGTAGGATAAGGCTAGCGCGACATGCGGACATTAGTACGTGTAGGTTAGTCTACAAACGTCGCCTAAAGTAATTGATTTTACCCGGCAGAACGAAAGAAGGAAATTCCTGTTTTCAGTCGTCTTAATAGGCCCTTGTTTTTTGACAAGCAATGACCTTTCAGAGGTCAAATTGCTGTCAAGAATATGAATTGGCTGCTTCGTAGCAATAATTTAAGACCCATTTAATAACTGATTTGGGTATTTTAATGGAGTCTAAAAATGGAAGAAAAATTACGCAACCAAATAAGTTAGGTTCTTTACGTTTTTCCTAACAGGGGTCTGGTATACCAAACGTCATGTCATATTCCTGTTCTACAGCCAAAAGTTAGTTTAGATATCAAATTTCAGTTAATTATCTGTATACTATTTGAAGATATGGCTACATGCTGTTACTGTCCCATTTACCAGCAAACCCTTTAAAAGGGCATTCAGGCAGGTTGGTGAACCAGGTTTTGCCAGAATCTTATCTCAATAATCCAATTAAACATCAAAGAAGAATACCTCTACTTAAGAGTCATTATCACAGCAGGCATTGCTGTTTCTCAATAAATTACCAGTATAGTATTTAAAAACCAGGCTGGAAAATTGTAAAAAAAACCTGTTGTTCAAAATAATTTGGCATTTTTATTAACTTAGCTATAATTTCAGATAAAAATCATAATAGATATGCTTTTGAATTTTAAAAATCAATGACTTATGTTGGAAGTTACAACATGGTTTTTGATTTAATTGTGCTAGTCTTCTTATGAACTATTCACAACTAATGAGCCTCCCTGTTAATCTTGTTACAAAATTTCCTGAATCAGTAATTAGTAGAGAAAGAAGAAATCGGCAAAACCTGGTTCAAAATTGTAAAATTTGGTAAATGGTGAAGTCTCCTCATGATTGAAAATGCAACTTTACAATCATAATTGAGAGCTAAAAAGCCTGGGTATGACCCTAAAATTTCAAATGGCCGTAACATGGAATTGGCAAGTTAAATTTTAGGTTTGTTCGTCAGACATTTGGTGCACATTATATCCAAGTTTCAAGAAAATCTGAGACTGTAACAGCCATCCCATTTGTTGAGTTGGCACAGAATGGTGTTAAACTTAAATTTATGTAGCATCGCTCAAAACACATGGTATTACAATAATTATTTTTTTTATATTAAAGCTTGTATTGTCTAGTTTGCAATAAACACAAAACTAAGTTTTGACAAAATACGACTTGTGTCTGATTTCGCTTGCTTGTGCCACATTTGTCAATCTATCTGTATCTGCCAATTTTTATTATCTTATTAAGTTGAGTAATACTGCCGTTTTGTCAACAAGAAATCCAAGGGTTCATTTAAAAGTATAGGTGGCAAGATTGGAGATGGTTGCTTGCTTGAGAGTTCACACCCACCTCAGCCTTGCATGTAGTGTAGCGACATCTGTATCTTTCACATTTAATTTAGTTAAGTGGTTTCTATGCACTATGGCTTCTATGGCAGGAGCCTTAACAGGTTTACCTAAAAAGTATGAGGACGGTTGCTTACTTGAGTCCCCATTCGGTTGCTTACTAGAGCCCCCATTCTTTAGGGGCCATTTTTATTTTCAGCCGTTTTAATTACCAAAGACCTTGTTTTGGATTTTGAATTTATAGTTTATTTTTACAATAAAGATATTATTACAGTTTATATATACATTCTATTGGATACATTGACCTAAAGAACATGGGTATTGACACCATGATACTATTAAGGACACTCTTTTTAACAGCAAAACCTGTGGCAAGGCCATTTGAATGTGACATTCAATTTTGTATATTTAAGAAGAAGTTATATTATATGGTATTTCTTATATGTTCTGTTGAATTCCTTGAACAAAAAATAACATAGGAATTGACATCAAGATCATGGTAACATGGGCACTTCGAGCTTTTAAACTGCCAAAATTGTGTTTCTTGGTGGCCATTTTGAATCTTTTATTTATTTTTGCATTTTCATGATGAAGATATACGTTATTGTATTTTAATAATGTTTTATTGGATTCCTTGAACTAAAAAACATATTGACACCAAGATCATGGTAATGTGGGCACTTACAGATAGAACTGCACCAAATCATTAGCTCAACCCGCCCTCGATAAACTAACGTTACGTTATCTCACTATATTAATTGGATTAACACGGGCGTCAAGCCGTACGTGTACGCATGCGTAAATCTTTTAAAATGCTGAAAATTATTCTTTTTTAAAAAACTACCGTAGTTACAGATTATTTTAGCATATTATGAAACTTTTCAATCAGCACCGCACGCTTTATAAGGGTCAAAGTACGGCGGATCACCAAACTCATCTTCAGTTCAAATCTAGTTTTTTTTAAATCTTTCACTTAAATTTTTTACGATGTCATCACCTTTATTTTACCTTTGTAAATTTGGAAATTTGTTAAATCGGGGTTCGTAATTATGGGTTTCTACTATACTTTGGCGGCCATTTTGATTTTTCCCATTTTCGGCGGGAACAGTTGGAATGACATCGGGGTTCCCGCAATTTTTGGAATCAGCATACTCAAAAAACCCCTAGGACAAAGTTTCATGATTCTTTCCAGAAGTGCTCGACTTGACAACTAACTTCTATATTCTGCCACTTAATAATAATTTAAACATAGGTTTGTCACAAACTTAAAAGGATTTTCATTACTGTACAAACTTATGCAGCAAAGCTGTTTAAGAGTCTTACCATTTTTCCACTGTTGAACATACCCCATTTGGTGGAATTAGAGTAAAGACATATCAAATGTTCTCCTGGTGTATGTGATGTGAAAGTAAAACGTCCTTTGTCACTATATACTTTAGATAACAAAACCTTGTCCTCAGGATCTTTAACTTCAACATGCATTCCAATTCCAGGACTTGAAGGAAGGAACTCATTGATATTCTTGTCATACAACTGAGTCTTGTAATTTCCTGAAATGAAAAGCCATTAAAACTTGAATTCTTGCATTTTATCTTACTGTTTAAAATCAAAATCAGGCAAGTATGACACTGTATTTTATAATCTGCTAGCTTTAGTAGACTAGGCTTTAAAACTGAAACAAATACCATAAATAATACCATTCTCCCCACACAGGCTGCCGACCTGCATGTTTTTTTCAATGATATTGTAAACTTAAGAAACATAATTAAGGAAAAACCTTCTAAAAAGGACTTTTTAACTGTAAACACCCTTCAAACACAAATGCACTTAATAATTGAGGAAATAACTGTAGAAGTACATGTTCCAATGGTTACGTAAATTGTTAACTGCCTTGCATTGGATAGGGCCAAAACATGCCCATTCTTGCAGAACAAGTATGAGAGTGGTAAATACTGTAGTACTGAGCGCGTGCCACAAGACCTGTTCACCTGAAACACTAACAAAATGTCAGCGTTGAAGGTGTTTTCAAAATGGCTACTGGGCTTATCTTTTGTCACTTTTAAAGTTTATTCATATAAATATTAACATATATTACCGGAATTAAGTATTTTTTTGGATATGCTAATTTTTAAAGGGAAGGAAAAAAAATCATCACTCCATGTATTTATAACCAGAGAAGGGTAGCAAGGATGTGTACAAACAGTTAGACAACTTTTAGTCAATCAGGGGCTTAGAATGCCATAAACCTACATTACAACATAGCTGAATCACTGAGTTGCAATCTGAAACCTATGGCGCTTTTCAAAATGTGTAGATTGTTCTTCAGCTATGGTCACCAGAACTATACCAGATATGCCACCGTATATTTACTATCCCTTAACCTATCCTAGTCACATCCACGAGCAGACCTCTTAGTAAAAAATGGCTTCAGTACGAAGAGGTTAGACATCCCCATGTCCAGAAATCCCGTCGACACACAATTGAACAATCAATCACCATGTAAAGTCTCATGGTGGAATTATAGGTTTCAGCAGGTAATACTGGGTGCATTACAGGTAGTACACCACAGGGCAAGCCAGAGCAGGAACTACTCGGTGTATTACAGGGGTATCCAATTAGTTTGTCAAAATATAGTTTGCCAAAACCTGGTTTGCCGTGTTTGTAGCCACGATACCAAAACCCAGTTTGCCGACACCCGGTTTGCCAAAACCTGTTTTGCCGAAACCCAGTTTCCCGAATCTTCTTGTCACCATTGCACAAAAACGCAGGACACTGCTTTTAAAAATGATGGGTGGGTCAGGGAGAAGCCGTATTCAACATATAAATTAAAAGACAAAATACTCGAAAACAACAATGCTGATACAAAATTGATAGAAAATGCTAAAACGTTAGACCACTAGTCTTTTCTAAGTGGTTGAAATATACGGGAAGTTCCACCGAAAGGTCAACCTTGTCATCAAATTTTCATATTTACTGCACCTACCCAAGTGAGTTGTCATTTTGAAGCTCATACTATATACTTTCTGGTACAAATAATTTTACATCAATTTTTATATATATATTATATATAATTATCGGGTTTGAAGTTAAGAGTATCAAATTTATGCATTTTACAAAAAAAACATGTAAATTGACACATACTGTAACTGTATAACAATATATATGTTGAAGCTTGCGGTACATCACGTAAGTAGTTCTGAAAAGAAGTGTTGTAGTAGAGAAAAGTCTCAACTTTTCGATTGAGATGCATCAATCGTCTTCAGGAGAATAATATCTGCAGACACTCCAAACAGGGAAATACTTACATGTTTGGGTGGTGATAAACTGATCAATGGGTGAAAGGCTAAAACACAAGCTGGATGGTGATTGGATGGATAAACTAACCAATGAGAATACTGCTAGTGAAAGGCTAAAACAATAGCCATTGTTCACGAAAACAAAACAAAAGGATGGAAACGCCCAAACAAAGGCATGGTTCCAGGGCGGAAAAGTGGGTGGGAACGACCAAAAACAAAGGCATAGTTCCAGAAGGCGGGAAATGGCGGGGCTTTGCTAGGTCCGATTAAACACGGACAGGCAAATATCGCTAATGACAAATCTGATGTCTTGATGTACAGTATTGTGTTTGTGAATTTCGATGGCTTCTCTAGTCCTTCTGGAGTGCCAAGATGGTATGGTGGCTATTAGTTCGGCTTTTTGTCCCAATGTACACGGTGTTGTTGACTGTGGGAATGCATGACTATAGAAGAATTTTCTTGTTCCCCTCTCCTGACATGGCCTTGGTGTTCCTTGAGCCTAGTGCGGAGATCTCGTCCTGTTTCACCAATGTAAACCTTCTCACATTCACACGGGATCCGATAAACTCCTGGTCGACTCTGTGCTCTTTGTTCAATTTTAAAAAAAAATATCAGGTATTAACAATTTTCTGTATAATACCAAAAAAATATTTGCAAAACAGGTTTTAGGTCCCAAGTATAATCATCTAAAAAAAAAAAAATTAATCTCCAATTTTAAAGTCAATACTGTATTTACGCTATAATTTATGTACGTTCATAACCGTACTGTACGTCCATAACTAAAACCTAAAATGTGAATTGTGTTACCACCGAACATCTTGTAAACTGTGTGGAAACTAAAAATCTACTAATGTTCTTTCTCACAGAATCTTAATCAACTTTTACTATAACCATGACAACTATCTGCTCTCTATTTTCATGAGTAATGTTCTAAAAATAGCCAGTTATGGACGTACGCAGAGAAAATGACTTTTTCAAACATACATTTAACATTTTACAATATGAGGCTTGCTATCCCAAAAATCAGTGACCAAAATATGAAAATTGACTTTTTAACATTCTTATTCTCCACATTTTGTACTTCAAAATGATGGGTCATTCGGAATCGACTTTATTATTGCCAAAGTTATGAGTAAAAGTTTATGGCTTCTCTGTACTAAGTATACAATACTGCAATATTCTTTATGCTATACTTAATTTAATACTGTAGATAGAATGCTGGTTTTGTGATGGCATACCTCATCATAACTGTAACCAAAGTTTATTCATGACATTAAAATTTCTTGAATTAATATGCATTTAAGAAAATAGTTGACTTTTAATATTTTATGAATATCTTGACTTTTAAATAGACAAACATCATGTTGATTAATATGTGTTTAGCATAGAGCCACAATTGATTTATACTGTATCACAATGAATAAAACAATTAATGTATAGACAGACGTTTAAAAAAAGTGAGAAAAATTGCCTTTATTGCTGGACTGCTACCTAGAATTTTAGAATTTGGCTTGTTAAAGACAGGAGATATGCTACCCTTCCTTTAAACACCCAGCCCCTCAAGGACGACACAAAGGTCTCATCAAGGACTTATAGTAATTCTATAGTGGGAGTTGCAAAACAAATTATGACACCTGTAGATGCCTGGAGAAACTCATTCAGACTTAAAATGTTGACAAATGTAGAGGTCCTGCCCGGCTGGGCACCTCTACCCCCCCCCCAATCCTCTTCCTACAGTCGATGTCAGAGACACATCTTACTGTTAATATGTATCAACCCTCTTGGATCAGGGTCTGATGAGTAGGGGCACCGAAGGCCCCCTAAGGGTCGGTGGGCCTGCGAACTGCCGCATGAATGCGTTACGCCACTACTGAGCATGGGTAGCTCTTCTAGCTGGGTACTACATTCCGTAATGTTTGGGAATTACTAGGCCTACTATAAAACAGTAAACGGGGTCCCTGTAACATTAATCTGTATCATGTGTATTAACCGGCATTAAATCACCTAACTGCCTAAACTAAACGTGTTTTAATTTATTTTGTTTTTTAAATTCATGTACAGTGTATGTATTGTACTCTCTCGAAAAGAAGCCAGGGCTTGAAATTAAGGGTTATTTGGTCGCATATTGGCAAGTAAACCAATCAGAATGCTGGGATATTATTACATCATTCGGGGCAACTTGCAATGTTTGGGATATGTTACTCCGCGAGACCTTTGTAAACACTAGAAGTGTGACGATGTTCTCTGGCGATTAATACTGAAGTTTCGAAGTTGGAAGGTACGAAAGCCCATTAGTGCCAATAAAGTATATGTTCATTAATCCGTAATAATGAATTAATAATTAGTAATAACGAATTAGTTAATTCGTTATTACGGATTACTAATTCATAATAACGAATTAGTTACGGATTACGGATTCATAATTACGAATTATTAATCCGTAATTACGAATTAACTAATTCGTTATTACGAATTAGTAATCCGTAAATATCCTATTTTGGATTAATTAAAATGGGGTAGGGGAAATAAATGTATGTTTTTAGTCACTTTTACATATGCTATGTATATCAAATGTAACAAGAACTTGGCTAAATAGTTGCTCTTCAATCTCTTTAAAAAATTTAATCGGAATGATGGCGTCATCACAAAAATTCCAAGATGGTGGCCATTTTGGCTAGTATGGCTAGAAACAAATAGGTGCATATAACTTAAATCAAGGTAGCCGTTAACACTGTTAAATCATATATAAATCATCAAAGAAAGGTAAATACAGTGTTCGAATAAAGGACTTAATAAACACATCGTGTAGCATAGCTCTCAACGAATGTAGTCCTGTAAATAAATGAATAAAGAAATTGTGTAATAAAATGCCTCTGGCGGGACTCGAACCTGCGACCTCTCGCTGTCAAGGCGAGTGTCATAACCACTTTGATGATTTATATATATATATTTATATATTATATTCTTTATATATTATATTCTTTGATGATTTATATATGATTTAACAGTGTTAACGGCTACCTTGATTTATGTTATATGCACCTATTTGTTTCTAGCCGTACTTATTGTGTAATAGAGTGTATCTGGTGGTATTTGAATCTGTTCAACCATGAAGCCTCCGTGGTCTAGTGACCAGATAGTCGTTATGTACCCGACAGTCGGCTGCCTTTATATTTTCACCTTTTTTCAGTTTGCATTCAAAAGGTACATTGCTGCACAGCCAACAGTCAGGGATATAGTACCTTCATATGACT